CCAGTGTTTACTACACTGAAGGGGCTATCCTGTATAAATATAGATGTCTGTCTGTCTGTCTGATTCCAAGAACTGTGCTCTGATGTAAAGCACCATACAGATGTAAGTTTATTGTAAATATCTCTGAAATGATATTTAGGGTGATGGCACAAGGGAAGGAACAGGAAAGTGTTCATGTGACAGTGGTTATGAAGGTGACTTATGTGACGAGTGCGAAGACTTGTACTTTGAGGAGCAAGATGAAAATTCTAAACCCAAATGCACAGGTAAGTATTCTGCAAATTAACTTGAGTTTATAACTCCTTTTAGTATAATTTCAGAGCTGAGCAAAGAGTTTCCAGCAATCTGATTGGTTGAGCGGTTCCTTATATGATGCTATATAAACCACTCCAAGCGGTTTAATGTTAAAAGTAAAATGTTAATGTTACTAAAAATTTAATGTTATGATTTTAGAAATTTCTTTGTTGTTCAGCTCTGAAATTATACTAAAACAATTCTTCGCCTCAGGTTCGGTGACTGTTGTTGAATAATCCCCTGGACTTTGTCTTGAGAATGATAATTATTCGACGATATTGACACCTCGCCTTTGGCAAATAATTGTTAAGTGTTAATAACTACCATGAGTGTGACCTGGACATTATTTCTCTTTACAATATCAATTCAATATCAAGCAGACAAAGCATGAGAATAGAGAATAATATCAATTAGGGGATTATTGGTTGACCTAGTACCAACTTCTGCGAGCTAGCTGATCATACAATTGTATGGTAGACAATGAAAAGAATTATTGATAAGATCTTGGATTGTGAGAGGGTTAAGTATAATACTTTTTTAAAATCTTACAATTGAAAGTACTTTTACTGTGGTCAGTTTACTGTAGGTCTGTAAAGGAGTGTGACTTAAAAAGAAATTTTTTCAAGGCAAGATTTTCAGCTAATGTTAATTATGTGTTGCAAGCAAGGGAAAAGAAAAACAGGAAATTTATTTTAATATTTGAACGCTAATTTGACAAACATTTTCTTGGTGTATGTAAATAGCTGGCGCGTGATAAAAAACTGTTGCTAATTTTAACAGCGTGCCATGAGTCTTGTGCAGACAGTTGCTCTGGTAGCTCACCCAAAGATTGTGAGAAATGCAAAGAAGGTTGGGATATGACAGACGAGGAAGGATGTAAAGGTATTGTTGAAAAATGTATTTGGCTTGTAGCTAATTCCATCAGACATAGTTTGATGCTACTCTGGTTGAAAGATTTAATGAGTGTAACTGGAGAAATTACAATTCATCGACCCAACGTTTCGACACTCCTGTCTTGTGCCTTCATCAAGGGTGATCTGATCGATGCAGCAAGAGGCCCTTTTAAATGCTCACTAATTAGCTGCCCTATTTTCATATGGTAACAAAAAAAGGTTCAGAAAAAAGGGCAGCCAATAGGAATACGGGTGAAAGCAATTGGCCGATTAAAATCGCGGGAAAATGCACAGCTACAGCACTGAGAGTTATTTAGTTCTTATTAACCGAGCGGGAGGTCTGTATGGGAGAATCTTGACTGAGGTCGCCATTACAGACCGAACGCAGTGAGGTCTGTACCAGCGACCGAGGTCAAGATTCTCCCATACAGACCGACCTAGCTCGGTTAATAAGATGATTACCAGATGCAAACAAACTTGTTCCATGTTTAGCAGATCAAATGATACCCTAGAATAAATGCTACACTCTTTTGAAAGATTGTAGTTTTTATTTGAGGATTAGAGGATTATACCCCAAGGAAAAAGCTCCTAGCACAGACACTTTGTTGTTGATCAACTTGTGTTTTCTCTTTCATTAGTGAAACCAGATTAGTTGAAATTATGGAAGGGCTTTGTGAAGATAGTGCTTCAGAGGTAATTTTCTTGGAGTTCATTCCTTAGTGAAAAAAGTTACAGTGAAGTCACAAGATTGAGGTATTCTGAATTGTGCAAATTACAAGTGAAGACAATTTTTGGGAGAATTGTTCAGTTTTTTTTTTTTGCATTTTTTGTTTGTGCTATCTTTTTCATACCTCCCTGAAAAGGTGCACAAGTCAGCTCATGGCTCAGTTCCCTTTTTTTTTTCTTTCCAGTGCCATGCAATGGTTGAAGAACAAGAAGAAACGTTAGAAGAATGGTGGTTTACACAGTAAGTGAAGTTTTAATGGTTGAAGTTTAACATCCTATTTCTGGGAATTCAGTCACTTGGAAATCTCATGTTATTCGTTTAGTACCAGAGTTTAGTGCCCCAAAATTATTAAGAGTTTGTTCTCAAAATACATGCAGTCCTAACTTTTATTGACTATTTTCTTTTTTTGCAGCCAGTTTAAAAACGATGATATGAAGAC